AAAAGCAAAAGTCATCCAAGATTAGATAATGACCCTCCCCCTCCTGATCTGGATCCTAGTCAATATGACGCTCCTGCACCTACCTCTCCGACTGATGCAAACACAGAAGTTGTTAAACCTACTTTGCCTACTGTACCTCCATATGGTAGTAGCCAACCTGAACAATACTTTAGTGGTGGTGTACCCCCTTCTCCTCCTCCTGACCGATACGGCCAATACAGCCAATACTATACTGGTCAATCATCTCCTCCACCAGGACAACAAGCCTCATATGGAGGCGTTCCTCCAAGAACTTCATCTCCACCACAAAGTCAACATCCATCATATTATAGTGTTAGTAGTTCTCAACCAATTTTACCTCCATCTTCGGGTGATGATGTTTCAGGTCGTTACTCACAGCAATATTCTTCTGGACAATTTGGTGGAATACCTGAACAGGAACAAACTAGTATGCCATTACCAGTACCAACTCCAGCCGAATATCAACAACATAGTTATCCAATTCAATACCAGCAAGGTTATCTACCACCTCAACAAGGTTATCAAGGTTATCCTCCACAAGGTTATCATCCACAGGGTTATCCTTCACAGGATTATCCTTCACAAGGTTATCCTCCACAAGGTTATCCACCACCTCAACAAGGTTATCAAGGTTATCTACCACCTCAACAAGGTTATCAAGGTTATCCACAAGGTTATCCCTCACGTGATTCACAAAGTTACCCTCTACAACGTGATTCACAAGGTCGACCTCCACAAGATCACTCACAACGTCAAAACACTTCTGGCAATCAATAAATTTTATTTTGTAATGATTTTATGTTTGAAATTAAATAGAAAATAATGATTAAATTTTATTTTGAAAACAAAAATTGTATTATTACCCTTTAGGTTAAAAAGTATTATTATACTGTTTGTGTTGTGAAAAAGTAATTTTTTGAGTACATAGTTAAAAAAAAAAAAAATTGGTATTAAAAAAGCATGTATTTTTCAAAATTGTTAATATGATTATAATTTATCTACAAAAATTTGTTTAACGCGCAATAGTTGATCGCGTAATTTTATGAAAACTATATTATTTGTATGACAATAACGATAATGCTAATGGATGATAACTTATTATTACCGTATATTTAAAAGAAATTTTACAATATTAATGATTAATAAAAAGGTTCCTTTTTTTTGTTGATAACTTGTTTAGTTTTGTTTTAATACATGATTCTATAATTTCGCATACCTTAATATATAAGTATTCTTTCGAAGCTAGAAATGGGCTTTACATC